TTTTCTTCCTTTTCTTCACTTGTCGCCCCTGGGCCATCCTCCTTTTCCTTTCTTTCTTTACTTGTCGCCCCTAGGCCATCCTCCTTTTCTTTTCTTTCTTCGTCCACCTTCTTCTGCAGGACCATGGACATCAATTCTTTCAGCTCCATAGTACGCTGACTCGAAAGGGGTTTCGTACCAAGGTCGGCAATCATGATGGCGCCAGGCATGTGTCTCACTCGCCAGTCGAGGTTGGTGATTCTCCAGCGAACATGTTGTGCCCTCAGCCTCAAATGTCTGGTGCGCCAGTTGGCATGGCCATCGGAGAAGAACCCAGTGGCCGCAAGGTTGTCGACAAAGAGGGTCTTCACATAGGGTTCCTCATGCTCTTGGATCATGCTATCAACTGCATCACCAGTTTGGAGCCCTTCGATGGCTTCCAGCAGCTCCGACTCGGCAGTGGACAAGGCCGGAAATGGTTGGCGCCCGCTTTTCCAAAACATCAGCGCTCCATTCCACAACACCATCACAGCGCCATGGGATGCCTGGGTTTCCGGCGACGCTGCAAAGCTTGAGTCCGTGTAGACCTCCAATGACTTTGGCCCTCCATCCCATCCTCCTCCTTTTCCAGGAGGAAACTCAAGTCCTTCATTGGGAGTTGACTTCAAGTACTTCCAGACTTGGGTGGCTTGTTCAATCACCCAGGATGGATGTGGCAGAATTTCTTGTGCACATCGACTCGTAGCGAATGCTACATCAGGCCTTGTACGAGTTGACAACCACATCAGTTCGCCAACGAGCTTCTGGGCTGCATTGACCAACCCTGGAGTAGGCTCTTCCGGCATCGGAGCAGCATCCTTGGACATGGGGACTTTCATATTCTTTATATCTTGAATCCCTTCTTTGTCCTTGATGTAGTCTTCTTGCGATGCCCGATATCCTCCTTCGACTGTTTTGGTGATCTCCACGCCCAGGAACTTGACCTTGTCCTTTCCCACTTCTTCAGGTGTGGAGGTCTCCCATTGGGCCTGTAGGACTTGGATCACCTGGTCGACGGTCTTCTCATCACTTGTAACCATCAGGTCATCAACGTAGACCAATAGGAATCCAACCATCTTTTCTTCACATTCTTCATCTTCACCATCGCCGAGCATGATGCTCCATAGATTAGGCTCAGCTTCGGCCTGGACAAAGCGATGTCCTTGTGGTGAGGTCAACTTCCTCAGCACCTGGTCACGGTAGACCCCCCAACAGCGCGGAGACTGGCGGAGACCATACATAGCCTTTTGAGCCAGGTAGTAGTCCTTGGGCCCCACATGGCCCGTCTTCAGAAGAAGGGATGGTGGCTTCAAGACCACCATGGTCGGCTCCTGACCTTCAGCTTCGATGTCCAGCGGCGCATTGAGGAAGGCTGTTCGAATGTCCAGCACTGATGCCTTCCAGCTCTCTTCAGCTGATCGCTTCAGGACGTAGCGAAGGCAAACGGCGTCCGCACCTGAGGCATACAGGCATTGATCCTTCTGTTCCGCTGATGCTGGGTCAACGAAGTTGCCGCAAGCTACCAGTCTGATCTTTCTTCTTGGACCAGGCTTCAAGGTGATCACTACCTTCGAGGGCAGCACCTCCAACTTTCTACCCCACTTTTCTTGAAGGGACTTGAACTCATCTTCATCGATCCGGCGGAGAGCCTTTTTCTCCTCAAACAACTGGTGAAGCTCTTTCCGGATTGCTTCGTCCCATTGTGGAGCTTCACGAAGGAGTTCCTTTGGGGAGACCACCCTGGTTCGAAGAACTGGTTCCTCCTCCTTAGGCATAGCGCTTTT